CTGATGTATTAATGATATCAAGCTTTAAATAAGAATGGTGAAGCTTGAGCTGTTGCTTTGGATATCTCAAAGGCATTTGACAGGTTTGGCATTCGGGTCTTCTTCACAGGTTGAAAAGATATGGTATTTCTGAACAAAATTTAAACTGATTCAGTTTTTCTTATCAAATTATGAAATGTAAGTTGTCTTGAGCAGCTACTCTTCTAGATCTTTTTGCAGTAATGCAAGTGTCCCACAGGATTCTATCCTTGGATCTATGTTGTTCCTAATTTTCATCAACATCATTCTAGATGTCATTAATTCTCAACTCAGCATCTATGCTAATGACACAACTATTTACTCCTGTCTTAATAGAAAAGCTGAACTCAAAAATGATCTAAAGTCTGTTATTAACTAGGGTAAGGAATGGCTTGTTAATTTTAATGCCTTCAAAATGAAACTGATCTCTTTTAATCATCTGAGAGAAACCTTTTTGCCTAACCTCCAGGAAAATCATTCATAGCAACTTTCCAGGATAATGTTTTCCACTGACATGAAGTAGAAAAATTATATTGAATCATTTGCTATATCTGCTGCTAGGAAAGTTGGTTCCCTGTGTCATGCTAGACAATTTTTCTCACCAGAAACTATCTTACATATTTATAAGTCTGCCATTAGTCCATGCTTTGAATATTGCTGCCACATCTGGTCTGGTGCTTCTGCTATATATTTAGAGATTCTTGATAAAATCCAAAGAAGAATTTGCAATTTATTAGTTCTGACCTGACATCTTAGCTTACATTACTTTCCTACTGCCATAATGTGGCTTCTGTTTGCCTTTTCTATAAATATTTTCATGGTAATTATTCTGATAAACTTTCTTCTATGGTAGCTAGACTTTATGAATTTAAGCACCATACTAGATTGTCAGCAAAGTCTCATCATTTTACAATTGAAATAGCTAGATGTAACTATAAGTTCTATGCTAACAATTTATTCTCTCACACTTCTTGCTTGTGGAACTCTCTTCCAGCTTCTTGCTTCTCAGTCAACTGTAATCTTGAAAAATTTAAATGCAATATCAATTGTTACCTACCATCTTTTTGATTCCTCTTCTCTTTTTTCTTCATATTCTTTCACACTCAGTAACCCCTTGTATCTTAGTTTGGTTTGTTAGTTGATTTGTTTAGCAGCATATCAACATCTACATTTATTGCCGAAATCTAAATATTTTGAACATAATTTTATGGCTTCGATTAAATATATTTTGAACACAATTGTATGCTTTCAACTACAGATAAAATGTATTATTAATAATTTTACTATAAATAGGTATTGTTAATAATTTTTTATAGAAAAACATATTGCTGTCATTTTTACTATAAAAATGTATTTTTATATTTTCATAGTGTTTTCTTTTTGTTTCAGTTTTACTACTTGCTCATAGCTGGGACCCTAACAAGTGTTACCACTCCTGGTCAGGATGGACCTAGGATCATCAACAATTAGGAGGTGGTCCCATGCTCTTTAAAACCTCCAATCTCCCAATCAGAAATCTTGTTGCCAGATGTAGTTTATTGTCATATCCAAGACTGTTGCATCTTACTGCCGTTATTGCTTTGCTTGGGTGAAATGATAAAAAAAGACATGCTATGCATGAATAAATACCTCTCTAATTTTCAACTCAGATATGCAGTAGGAATTGGTCCAGTGCTCAGCTGCACAGTAACCGTATGACCACAACTGGGTATATGACTGATGATGATGATGCTGATTGTGGTGCTGGTGGGGGGGGTGATGAAACTGTGATGAGAATACTACAATCACTGCATATCTATGATGGGAATAATAAGCAATAATAAAAGAAAAGAATTGTAGACTTGCTGTCACTCAAGGCATGAAAGTAATTTAGGAGCATTAACAGAAGTCAGAGAATACTATTAGTCATAACAAATTGGGCACTTCAACGTCGTTAGCAAGCTTGTCTCCTTAGATCAATTACGACTGAGTAGTGAGTTCGATCCTCACTGTGTTCCCCATGCTTTCGGCCTTGTGCCACATCTAAGCTAAGCTTGGAAAATCACTATAGCAGTAACAAATCAAGGGAAATTACTGGAATCATTAATATCTGAGGGTTACTTCCCTTGCCTTGGTAACTATGGTAACAGTTGGTGTTCAACAACGCTCAACTCTTGTGTTATTTCTTTCGACAGTATCTGCTGAAACGTTTAAAGAATCATGTCGTCAATACAGACAGTTAAAGAACGTCTTAAAGTAGACGAGCCATCCCGGCGCCATGATCATCTATATGGTGAGCTATTTTTTAAAAAACAAAATGAATATATCAACTGAAGCACATTTTAATTTTACTCCAGGTCAACGATCGTCATCAACGAATTGATTGTTGTTCTCTTCGCAATATACGATTATTGCTCCTTCAGCTACCCTAACCAGACTCTTTTCATTTAGAAAAATGTAATTGTAACAATAGTGAAAAAAAAAAGAAGCTGAGAACAAGGAAACTATATACAAAAAATGTGTAATAATAAACTTTTAAGAAGAATAACCTTATCTTTTTTATTGCTGTGTTGTAGTTCTTTGCTCTGAGAAAAGAAAAATACAAAGACTTTTTTTTGGTAAAAAGGAATTTTATTTGTACCTCATTAAGACGATAAGGTTATTGTGTTTGGTGAACAGATTTAAATCATTCATTAAATAAAGCTTGTATTGTATTTCTTACACTTAAAAAAAAAAAAAAAAAAAAAAACTCAATTGACACGCTTGTAATTTTTTAGACTCAGAAATATCCACACCTTTTTTCTTTTTCTTTTTTACAAATTGCTTCTTTTTTTCTTTTTTTGTTATGAATGACCTTTTAATGAGTTTGCTTTTATTGCTGTAATTAACAGTTAATTATTAACTACCTACTCAAGTTGTTTCACAAAAATATTATCCCACCACTCAGTAAATTTATTTTAAAAGATCTTCGTTTCCTTCTACTAATAATCTTTAAGCTAAAAACAATTTAAATATGATTATTTATTTGTTTAGTTTATGTATTTTTCGTTGGACAAGGAAGGATTTAAGGAGTAGATTACCAAAAAAAACTAAAGGACAACAACAACTTGTATGCACAGGAAATTGTCTCATTGTGTCTCTAGATTACTGACGTTCTTCATGTCATACTATTTTTAGCAAGTCCTACATGAGGAAATAGATTCATGTAGAATAGAAATGGAAGGTCTCATTAGATAATGTCGGTAGGGGGGGATCTTCCACAGGCAGCCATAAGTTACCTCGTCTTGTTTTATAAAAACAGCTGAGTGGCTAGGGGCCACATATATATATATATATATTTTTATTTGCATCTCATTGTTACGTGAAGTAATTGAGAATTTACTGCCATTGCCGTGGTGGTTATTTTACATTTAATGTAAAAAAGAAAATTCGTGATTTAAAATAAATTATGTACCTATTCATTAATTTTATGATTTTATTAATTAGTTAGTCTACTGCAGATAAAAGTCTACTTTATCTTTCTGTGTCATTCAGTAGCAGTAAATAAAAAATTATACAAACTTATAATACATTTTGGATAGACTTGCCAATATATAGCTTAAAAATATAATAAAAGTTTTTTCTAAAATGTTTACAAGTAAATAACAAGTGTAAAGGAAATTAATGTATTTCAACAGCAATATTTTATATTTTTGTTTTTAGAACTGAGTAAAACCAAAAAAGAAAAAAAAAACGTTAGTATGCAAGCAAAAAAAAAAGATGTGGGTTATCCCACTTGACTTTGATAAAAAACAAAACAAAAAAAAAACGTCTCTAGAGAGCACTCTTTAAGCCTATATAAAAGTGTTCATTTTTCTCCCTATTCTCTTTTACAGCTTTACAACTCTGGCTATAGGATGTAATCGTACGTGGTAAAAAGTGTCCTCACTGGAACACATTCATTTTCAGGTTTTTTCTCCTGACTTTCATGCTCTCGTACACACACCTATTACACACACAAACAAACAAGCACATTCTTATAGCTAGTTTCATGTTCTTCCTTTTCATCACATGTAATTCTTTCGTTAATATATGCATTGTCGTTTATTTTATATTGTTTTCTGTTACATTTTTACGCGGACTCACAATTAATCTGCCAATATTGTTTGTAGAATAAATTTTCCAGGGCCCATAAATGTTTACTCTTCAAAATGTTGATTCCTGCAACATTATGGTGACTAAATATTTACCCAACAATACAAGCAATCCTGCAACAAAGTTAGGAATTCTGTAGATGGTACATGTATGCATGTGTGTGTATAAAAAGGTTCAATTACTAATGGGAAAAATATCACCATGCCAGGAAACAAGATACTGGAGGTTTTGTCATTAAAACATGCTGAGAGGAAAAGAAAGATAAGAGGATGAGGATGTCTCGTTTTTATAGGTGCTTGACAGCACCACCTAATGACTTCCAAAACTGGCAATGCTATGTGGAGATAACCCACAGTATTGAGGAAATCCATACTTTATAACCTGTTAAATGTCATTCAAATCAAATTTCTTTAAGCTATTGTGCAAACAGCTCTACTTAATTTACCCTACTTAAGTTGGGTCATATTCATCAAATGAATAATGGATATTATGCATGATGAGCTGGCCACAGAACAACACCCAGTAGGCTGCTCTGCACTGTGCTTTAAGGATGTCTGCAAGCACAACTTAAAATTCACAGAGATTAATGCTAACAAATTGGTTGTTTTTGTTTAGCAGCATATCAACCTCTATAGATTATTTAATGCTGAAATCTAAATATTTTGTACACATTTCTTTTTTTAGATAATGGTTTTAATGATACATGTCTTACTAATTATTGCATAGCTGGGTGAGAGGAGAAGAGCTGGATTCATACCTTTCCCAAAGGTATTTACACATAATTGAATAACAAACTCAATTGAAATTGAAACTTGGCTCTCCAATTAACATTTACAAGTCATTATTCATTACACTACCCATACATCCAAGCTTGCAGCACCTGATATTCCCAAGTAATCACCCATCTAGATACTGAACAGGCTTGATGCTGCTTAACTTTGGTGATTGCATGGGAACTGGAGTTTCAACATGATATGGCTATAAGCCTGATGGCTGGTGACAAGCTAGTGGTGTCAAGAGAGGCAAGGACAGATGTAACCATTAGATGGAGGATAGAAGACAATGCAAGGTGCAAAGACTGCAAAATCAAGTTCATAGATCACACACCAGCTTCACATGCATTACCTGCAAAAGAGATTGTTATTCAAGAATCAGATTTTCTGAGACATTCTAAATGTTGCTCTTGGTGGAACTGCTTTTAGCAACAAGAGCACTACTATTATCTTACAAAATAGATGGTTGCCAACATACTTAGGTCAATAAGAATCTTGAAAGAAATGGAAAAGTAGAATATGTGTAATAACAACAACAACCATAGGTGTTTCCGTTTCAAAGAAAAATTTCCAAATAATCATTTTCTTAAACTCAAATCTCATCTTAATTTTTTGCTCTGTTTTTCATAACTAAATTTTGGATTTAATTGCGTTTGAATTTCATAGCTAAAGCATTGTCAATTATTATTAATTTTTTTTATGAGTATTTCCTTAATTTTAGTTTTGTTGTGCTCTGGAAAGAAAACTCCAACTTTACTGTGTGGTGGAGGCCTACAACTTTCAATTAAGGATATTTGTAAACAAAAACTCATGTTATATGTTTAGTATCAACCCTGCTGCCTAGAAAAGCACCACTCAATACCACCTAGAATGGCGGCGATCAATCTGCATTGAGCTGTTGGCATATGATACTACCTTGGCTCATTAGAGAAAGGCCAAAGAGAACAAGAAGGAAGTACAAACAATGGGAAGGCACCATTAATTCATCAATCCTATTGGGGCAGGCTGATACATGCAACATCTGTGGCCATATCTACCTCTCACACAGTGGACTGCAGTCACATCAGATAATGCATGAAGATCAGACTCTTAAGCATGGAAAATCTGTAGTTTTCTTAGACTGTGATTCCAACAACAATTTCTGTTGATTTTTACCAAAACTCCCAGATCTTCATTCTCTGACTATAAGTAAACAATATGGATATGGATTTGAAATCAGGAATAAGCTTCTAAAAAGATCCAAATTCATGTCCTTTATCCTTGGAAGTTGGCACTTGGCCAAATGTTTACAGTATTAACTTTCTGACCTTGAATGTGTTTGAATATCACAGGAAGTGGCCTCTTGCTAATATCAGACTGGGGAGATGATTGATTAACTTTCAAACTGTGCTTTGTTTTTTACACATTTGGTTTCCTGAAATGGTTGATAAATGCTGCACCACTGAAATGTGTCTGAAAACCATACCATAAATTGGCTAAAGTCTTGTGAGTGAAATTGGGTAGACAAAACAGTTCAGATGACATCGATGGTTGTGCTATATGTATAGATATGATTATAATCAATCATTTACAAGTGAATCTGGTTTTGGTATTAAATAACCCAACAAGGATTTGATATGCTGTTAAACAAACCAAATTCAAATTCAGACACACTGCATATATTTTTCACTTCTCCGAGGAAAAATATTTTGACATTTTTGTTTATGGCCTATAAATAATATATATATATATATATATATATATTTAATATAATAAATAATATAATACTCATATATAATAGTATTAAATTTATTAGATACAGTATTGTCAATTATTATTAATTTTTTTCTGTTGCTTTCAGATAATTCTAATGAAATGGCAGTTGTTATAAAAAGCAATAGATATAAGATAAAAGGCAAAAATGAATGATAACATTTAGATTCTTACTAATTGTATATTCTTGTAATTCTATTTTAATGCATAATTTAGCTAAGATATTTATTGACTATATATAATAAATGTTTTCATGCAAATTAAGTTTTCATTCATGTATTTTTTCTCTTCTTAGGATAAAAATCAAAGTATAATATCTGTTTTTTTGGGGGTGGGGGGTTTATTTTTTCCTTGATTTAAAATAAAATGATCATTTTTGTCAGTAACAATTAAAAATATGCTCACCCATACAAAACAGGACATATTATTTTAATCAAGATATTATCATCAAATAAAACAGGAATGAAATAAATCTGTACTTTAAAACCTTTCAAATGAATAATTTCAATAATCTTTTAACTATCTAATCTAATTTTTAAACTGAATTAACTATTTGGAAATTTTATTATGACATAATAATATACATAAAGCATAAGCATATAATAAATGTTTCAATTTTAAAGAAACTTAACTGTTACTATTAGCTCTGACTGGAAGTATGCTTAGTAAAAGAATCTGACTTATCATTAACATAACAATATTTGCTAAAATTTGGATTTTATTGTAGATAATGAAACTTTCTGGTGCAAGACCATGAAGAGATTTGTGTTACCAAAAAATAGAAATAAATAAATAACTTTAAAAATAGCATAATAAAACTAAGGATAACATTGTTAGTTTTAAGTACATTTCTACCTCTTTAATCTGGTAGTTGTGGGATATGGCTATTGCCAGACCACATAAAACACTTGTCATGTCCATAAAGAAATACATAAATAAAAAATAAATTATACTGCCGCCACTGTGTTGTGCCCATAAAAAAATAAATAAAAATTAATTATAGTGTCAAAAATAATTATAATTATCATTAATTCACTCATTCTAAATCAATGAGAATCAACTCCACTTTTCTCTTCTACACACACAAACACGTGACATTCTCACTATCAGACAAGCAGTTCACACACACAGGTCATCAACACATGCATCAATTTTGTCTCCTTTTACTTTTCAGACCATAATAGTAACATTTATCTTTTAGCACTCAACAAAAATTCAAGGTAACAAAAACACAGACACTTCACGTATTTTTCCAACTAGATTATCTGGACACTCTATAAAAAAACATATGAGAAAGATTGTATACTCTTTACTTATTCTTTATCTTATCATTCTGTCAGATTCCAACCCATATTTGATCTACATTTGACTCAAAACTCACAATTTTATTCAGTATTACTGTCTCTCGTGTTTCCAACACCACATAACAACCAGACTCAATTATATATGCACCAGAATACAGAACAGTTTAGAAAAATAGAAAATTATGGTCTTAATATAATTTGTATCATGTAAATTGTAATAAATGAAAATCATTTGTGTTTACTTAGCTTCTAATTGATTCATTTATAAAATTCAGAAAAAATTCATATGTTAATATCTAATTTTATGCTAAATTAAACATTAAAACTGACTGAATTTAGAGCTCATTGATTAACTTTCAAAATGTGCTTTGTTTTTTACACATTTGGTTTCCTGAAATGGTTGATAAACTAAACTATGGTTCAAACTGCAGTTTGTAATTGACTCAAAGACCTCTAGTGGCTAATCCACAAACTAATGGTGGCAAATTCTAAATGTATCAGACCATGGAAGTTGCTTGGTGAAAAGGTGCCAGATTAGAAAGGTACAGTTTGTATAAAAATATTATTGTTATTTTATGAAAATCTTGGGTAAAATCTTTGTAAAAAAATAAATAAACCTTAATTCCAAGCTTCTGTTTTGCTTCAGAATAAAAAGAAGTTGCACAGCACATTGAAAAAACTGTTACTTTAATTTGTATAATTTCTTAGTAGCTACTTTGGTGTTGACAAACAGATATTGGTTTTTATTTTAATTTTTTTTAAATTATTGTATTTTGAGTTCATATATATTTGTAAGTAATATTAACATTGTTTATTTTTTCTTCTTCTGTAGATTCAATATATACGGTCAGTGGTGAAAGGGACCATACCAGGGCTCTTTTCAAATCACATACAGCAACAGACAAAATGGTAAGAAGGAACAGAAATCAAAACTATTTTCTTATAACAGGAAAAGATTACGAAACAATAGTTTTATAGCACATAAAAAAGCAATTAAAATTATAGCAATTTTAAGTCTTTCAATTTTCAGTTTAAAAACTGAAAAGAAGAAGAGGAAAAGTCTTAAACAAATTGCAAAGACTGAACATAACATACAATGGAGGAATGCTGAAGAATGTATCAGTCTGTTAATAACATCAAAGATGTAGAAAATAGTCCAAATAATATGTGTAATAGTAAAAACACTATTTCTTATAACTTCAAAATCAACTAGGATAGAAAACAAGTTTGGCCTAAAAAAAATAAAATGTTTATGCAACTAGTTATTTATTGTTTTGACAACATTCAAATTCAACTTTTAATTGGCTATTTTCTGGTCAGTCAGATTTATTCCAAACAATGAGAACAGGATGGGATATTTCTCTTGAACCACTAAAATTCTTTATATAATTCTAGATGCATTGTCAATTCACCAGAACTGTTGAATGTGAGCCGTTGTTTCTTTATCCAATGAGTATATCAGACTTGTTTTGTGGTATTGAAAGATGTGTAAGTATCTTCCTTTTGATACAGCTAAGCAAATTGGTTTAGATGATGCCAGAATAGACTTTGCAGTGTGATGTTACTGAAGTCAGATGCATCAGCGGGTTGACCTGAGGATGGCCTCCTAGCCACCAAGTGCAAATCTGCATCACACAAGATTTCAGTGGCTGACCATGACAGATCCATGTAATTGACCCATCTGCACCTACAGGATGCATTCACAGGAAAAATGTATATGTCAATATATAAATAACCATAGAGAAGAGGACAGTCTCATACATTCTTGTGAGCATGTAGGGTCGACATTTGAAGAAGGCTCCAAAATCACACACCTACTGACCAACAGTGATTGACAAAGTCTGTGGTGAAATAAACAATGTAATATTATGTATGAAAGATTCAGTCCTGTGTTTTCATTTGTAATATACAACAATAACATTACACTGTGCAATTTATATAGACTTTTTTTCTGTTTTACCTTAGCTTATCCATTTTTTTTTCCAGTTTGCCATTAGCACTTTCCAGTTTAATCCAACTGCCATTGGTGGTGGTGGTGGTGTTGAAATACTTAAATGAATAATTTCAATAATTTTTAAGTATTAAAGTCTGAAAAAATGTCTCTTAAATTTGATTGGATTTTTCACTTTTCTTGTCCATAACATCACTTGTA